TGCTTTTAGGGTAGTAAGAATAGAACCATGTCTGTCTCCATTAATGACCCTGGGAAAAAGCCTGGGTCACTTTAGAGCTATTCTTTCAAAGCATGGCATGTTTTTGGTGACACTCATTTTGCTGGCCTGTCTAAACCAGGGGCACAAATTTTGAAGTGACCCTTCCCATTTTCAAATCTTCCCTTAAAATTTGCTGACTTGAGCTCCAAGATTATCCAGATAGTTCCCATCTCTTCAATGGTCCATCGTTGTCAGTCTTTGAGGACAAGTGCATGAATTTTGTCAACATTTTTGTCAGTTTGAGATGTTGACAGATGTCCAGTGTCATCCATCAATATTTCACCTTTTTTGAAACAAGAAGACCATTCATACACTCGAGTTTTCCCCATTGCGCTGCCCTTGTAAGCTGTGCTCAACATCATGACAGTTTCTGTAGCATTTTTCCTGAGCAGGAAACAAAATTTCACAGCCACATACTGTTCTCTTAAATTGGTCATCACAAAAAACGAGGTTCGAGTGAAATTGCTTTTATGAAAAAATTTACTGTGACCAGAGAGAACCTTCCCAAGTGATGCCACTGGGTACACTAACTCAGAGTGAGTTACTTGATGCTTGCCTAGCAGGAAAAATGCATACTACAAAAGCTCTACCCAGCGAAGGTTTTTCTGTTTATTGGAGGGAGGATACTTCCTTGTATGTTAGTGATGCCCCTCACTACCACCCAGTGAAGTAAACACCATAATTCCTGTCCACAGATTGGGGAAATGGAGACTCAGTGTTACTGAGGCACTTACTGCAAAGTCATAGGTTTTAAGGAAGGTGCTTAAGCCTTAGTCTATTTAGCAGCAAGCTCAGCTTGACCTATTAGTGAGCTGCTGCTGCTAGCATGACCTGATTCTTCTTAGCATCAGGCTACACCATTGACTATGTTTTGCTGACTTCACAATAGGAAGAGGAACTTCTTCATCTGCCTTGATGTAGGGTGAGAAAGAGCGGTCTCTTAGCATCTACTATTTCCAAACATTTTGCCCCAGCTTACCAACGTCTCAAGTTACAATTCTTCCCCTTCATCTCTGTCTTTAGCTTAAGCCCACTCTTCCTTCAGCTCTCCAAATCATATCCATTTTGAAGGCCTTCCTGTGAATAAAGACTTTTTTACAATCTTGCAAGAGAGTCAGATTTCTTATGTGAAATTCAGAGAGGGTCTTGCAGCCTTTCCTTATGGATGGACTATAAGAATTTTCTGTATTTTTTGTATGTCTCTACCAAATAAGATTTAACTGGAAACTGAACTTTTCTAATCTACAAGGAGTAGAATGGATAAAAAATGAATGCATACACAATGGTTTCTGTAGTAAACATGGGGCCAATGTTTCTTTAAAAATTAAACCTGCCCCCTAATAAAACGATTAAAAAAATTAAACCTGCAACTGACTTCGTCTAATTTCAGTTTCACTACTAACTTTTAGTGTTGTTGTTGTTTATCATTTAATACAAGTGGAAAGCATTTAAAAACAAACAAACAAAAACCAGCTGTCCAAGTTGGTAGAAGTATTTATTTAGTAAAAAGTTCACTCTTAAGATGATTTTATTCTGTTTCAATTTAAATGTAATCAAAACCTGGAAGATATAATATGTGCCTCCCCAATAGTTATTTGTTTTAAGGAATATTAGGGTTACTCTTCTTGTAGTTAGTAAAATGTTATGAGAAATAGACTTCTGTAATTTATTATTTTCTATTTTCCTTTTATTGGTAAGTTTAATCTGATAGTAAAGGAGATGGTTGGAACCACAGATGTTAAATATGTAGATATTGAGGCAGTAGAATTAACGACAAGAATTAATTACTATAGAACTAGTACCAAACTCTTGAGGTTTCCAGAAGGTGGCCTGGAGGCTGTCGCATGCCAAGGTGTATGCTCATCCACCCCCATTAAGTAGCGTCTAACTCACAGTGACCTCTAGAAGGTTTCTGGGGCTATAAATCTCTACAGGCGCTGACAACCTCTACTTTCTCCACACAGCAGCTCCCGGGTTTGAATAACTGACCTTGCGGCTAGCAGTCCAGTGCTTTTCCAACGTGTTCAAAAATGGAATTTGCTAGACAGGTGTCTGAATTCTTTGTCCCACCCCTCCACCCCCATTCCCCTGCTTCTTCGAATTGTTTCCTGTAGAAATTGCCCTCATCTTTTCTCCTTCCTGAAACATAACAAAAACAAATATTACTCCTCCTGACCTTCTAGCACACTTGACAAGTTACATATCTTGGAATTATTTTTTAAAACAAGAACCCCATTTTTCAGTATAGTAACTATACCAACTCACTGCTACAGAGTCAATTCTGACTCGTAGAGACCCTACTGTACATTGTTACAGGATCAGAAAGACTCATCTTTCTCTCCTAGAGCTACTGATGGTTAGTAGAGTAACCTGTAACCCACTATGCAGCCAGTGCCCTATGGTAACTGTATTGGTAACAAAATATTTCAACAACAGGCACATGTGCTTTAAATATGTAAACAGTGACATTAGTATGTTCATCATATTCAACCATCAAAATGAATAATTCCTAATTTTTTTCTGCCACACTTCACTAATAGAAGTTCAGTGTACCTTCAACATTGTGTCTTTCCCCTCCCTCCTACCAATTGCTGGTAATCTGATCACTCTGAATAGATGGCCATCGTAGTCGGAAACAATCTCTTATGCCACTGTCACACTTGGTCACTTCTAAAAGGAGGTCTTCAGTGAATGTGGAAATTAATAATATGTTTTTAAATCTTTTTTTCCAGGTTTTGATACCTTGGATATGAAAGAATGCTCTTCTTCAAATTCCAATTATGTAATTTTTAAAACATCAGAAAGCAAATGCAAGGACCTGCTAAATGCATTGAAATCAGCTTCAGGTAAACCAAAGGGGCAACTTTTATTATAAATATGTACTTTCTCCCTGTCTTCTAGGGCTTTTGAAGCTTAGCAGGTCTGTGTGAGTATTTCATTGGGGTTAGCTATTTTGACCTGTGATCTCTCATTCATAATCATGCAGTACGAGGCCACTGAGTGTAATTTGTTTATTTTAAATAGATTTTCAGCAAATACTGACCTCCTCTCCCCAAATGGTTGAAGGGGATAGAAAATGATAACAAGAGGATAATGATAACAAATCCATTTCGAGAGTTATCTCTTTGGCTGACCCTCTACCAAGCATGGTGTTCTTTGATCAGGACTGATATTTCCTTGAAACATGTGAGATTGAGTTTTGCCGCCCCCCCCCCACCCACCTGACTTGCTTTCAAGGAGAATTCTGTTGGCACTTCGCCCAGGGCAGATATGTTTGTTATAAAAAACAACAAAAAAAATCAAGCCAAGAGAAAACCAACCCACTGCCTTCGAGTTGATTCCAACTCATATGGATCAGATAGGGCAGGGTAGAATTGCCTTTGAGTTTCTGAGATTTTAAATCTTTATGAGAGAGGACAGTGTCATCTTTCTCCCTCATGTTTGTTACTAGGACTCATAGACAAGCAATTTCAAATCTATACAAAAATACTTATAAAATTATGAGACACAAATTGAAAACAATGATTCAATTAGTATTCAGTTCTTTTAGAACAATTTTCATATGTTGATGTATGCCTGCACTTAACAACTTTTTGGTCTATTGCTATTATTCCAGATTCAACAAATTATTTTCCCCAAATATATATATATATTTATCAATTTATTGGGGGCTTGTACAACTCTTATCACAATCCATACATACATACATTGTGTCAAGCACATTTGTACATTTGTTGCCATTATTATTCTCAAAACATTTTCTTTCTACTTGAGCCCTTGGTATCAGCTCCTCATTTTCTCCCTCCTTCCCCACCCACCCTCCCTCACGAACCCTTGATAATTTATAAATTATTATTATTTTGTCTAGTCTTACACTGCCTGATGTCTCCATTCACCCACTTTTCTGTTGTCCACCCCCCAGGGAAAGGGTTATATGTAGATCCTTGCGATCAGTTCCCCCTTTCTCCCCGACCTTCCCCTTCCCCTCCTTGTTATCGCTACTCTCATTATTGGTCCTGAGAGGTTTATCTGTCCTGGATTCCCTGTGTTTCCAGTTCTTATCTGTACCAGTGCACATGTTCTGGTCTAGCCAGATTTTTAAGGTAGAATTAGGATCATGATAGTTAGGGGAGGAAGCATTAAGGAACTAGAGGAAAGTTGAATGTTTCATCATTGCTACCCTGCACCCTGACTGGCTCGTCTCCTCCCTGTGACACTTCTATAAGGGGATGTCCAATTGCCTACAGATAGGCTTTGGGTCTTCACTCTGCATTCCCTCCTTAGTCACAATGACATGAGTTTTGTTTTTTAATGCTTGATACCTGATCCCATCGACACCTCGTGACCACATAGGCTGTTCCCCAAATATTTTATCATGAAAAGTTTCAAACGCATGGAAACATTGAAAGAGCACACTAATAAATACCCATTATTCATATCTGCTACACAATTATTTTGACATTTTGTAATATACATCTGTGGAACCCTGGTGGTATAGTGGTTAAGTGTTGGGCTGCAGTCCACATGGTCAGCAGTTCAAAGCCACTAGCAGCTCAGTGGGGGAAAAACTGCGCTTTCTACTCCCATAAACAGGTACAGTCTCTTAAACCCATGGGGGGTGCGGTGCTTTGTACATACCATGTTCCAATTATAATGGATGTTCACATTGCTAATCACTTTCCAGTATCATTTTAGATTAGACATTAGATTGCTTAAAAATGCTTAATAGACTTTCCACTTTTATGGTCCATTTTTATTTCATTTGTGTATTCTGACTTACTTCATCTGTTTGTTCCTTGAATAGGAACCCAGAACCACGTGTTACGAGGAGTCCCATTTGTCAGAGGGGGAAGTTCAGGCTTCATAGCTGGCCTCAGTTTCCTAGAGCTGGATAATCCTGCTGGCAACAAAAGGCGCTATTCTTCCTGGGCAGAATCTGTGACTAGTCTTCCTCAAGTCATAAAACAAAGGGTATGTGACATATGTGGAAAACATTGGAATGCAGTCATGTGTATTTGCTTTGAGAAAATGAGGTTAAATCAAGGTAGCTAAACAGAGACTTCTTTGATTAGCATATTTTGCATACCAATTATGCTTTTTTAGATGGGATGCATGCATACATGATAATACAAAATAGTAGGCAAATGATCTGGTATGTTCGAGTTTCAATTGCAAAGGGTAAATAAGTGTTTTGCAAAAACACCACTCAGTTCGTTGTACTGTTGTGGCTGAAGTAATGCTGTGATACTGGTGCTCTGACACTGGTGTTTCACATATTAGCAGAGGCACATATGGTGGCCACAATTCAGTGAAGTGTTCAGACCCAGTCAGACCAGAAAGAAGGATGTGATGATCTATCTCCAAGAATACTGGTCTAGTGATACCTTCTGCATAGTAATGGGAATTGCGCTAGAAGACGAGTCCTTCTGATTGAATTGAATCCAAAATACAACTGGGGAAGAGCTGCCTCCTTAAAGTAGAGTCAAACTCGAGGTTGATGACCTTCATTTACTGATATGGCATGAATGAAAATGAGAAGAGACCACTGTGAACATCTGCTACAATTGGAACATGGCATGTACAAAGGAAACTGGATGTCAGAAAAACAAAATAGAACTTTTGAAGATCAATATCTTGCCCCTCCCCCGAGAAGCATTTATTTCAAAGGATGGCACTGAATCTGCAGCTTTGGGAGAAGGATATATCTGACCAGAGCACACAGGAGCAGATGACGGGGGAGGAGGAGAGACTGGAGCACATCCTGGCCCACC